CTGTAAACCCATTCAGCACACTGTAAATATATCTAACTTAAAAAAAAAACCAAAACGAATCTCATAACATATAAGTAAAGGTAAAGGTTTTCCCTGACATTAAGTTGTGTCTGATTCTGGGGGGTGGTGCTCATCTCCATTTCTAAACCGAAGAGCTGGCCTTGTCCGTAAACGCTTCCTGGATCACGTGGCCAGCATGACTGCATGGAGTGCTGTTACCTTGCGGCCAAAGTGGTACCTATTGATCTATTCACACTTGCATGTTTTTGAACTGCTAGGTTGGCAGAAGCTGGAGCTAACAGCGGAAGCTCACCCTGCTCCCAGATTCAAACTGCCAACCTTTCAGTCACCAAGTTCATCAGCTTAGCGGTTTAATCCACTAAGCCACCAGGGGGCCCTCATAATATATACAATTACTTATTTGGTAAATATATGTCCTGCCTTTCTGTTGAAAGCCCTTAGATGTAATCAGAACAAACAATATAGTTAAAGCAGGGTTTTAAAAAAGCAACATTTAAAACAGCTTGTACAACAGCAGGAAATAAAACAACAAGCAAGATGTTGCCATTAGCAATATATTCCTTAACTTAAAGAAATAATTTCTGTAAGCTAAAGGAATATTTTTTTCTGTAAGCTAAAAGGATATATTGCTTTGTACAGATTGGTTGGAGCCCTGATACTGGGAAAGTGGAAAACCACTATCACGGTAGGGATGGGAATAGTGTAGCTTTTCAGATGTCCTTGGACACTAATTCATAGCATTCCTCTTTATTCACTATACTGACTAGAGGCTCAACAGCATCAGAAAGGCCACACCATTTGTACCCCTGCACTCTGGCATGTAATGACCACATGAACAGCTTCTGATTGTGCAAGAGATTGCAAGGGTTGCACTCATGTTTCTATCTGGACAAATGTAATCACTAAAGCTATTGAGCCAACAACTTCGTACAAAACTGAAGTTCTTTGATCTGAGGTATGCATGATTATTTGTCCTTAGTGTGGAATTTTTGTCATAAAAAATTAGTGTCCGTTGCTTTCCTCAAAGCAGCATGTGATCTGTATTTGGAATGAGTCACATTTGCTTTCTTTAAACACTAAAATGTGTGGTCAAAAATGTAAGCTTCAATATTTCCTAAAGAATTCCTGCCATACTTGCCTAATCTAACGGCTACTTGTGCAAGAAAGAACTTTGACAATAGAACTCTGTGTACGACCTGATGTGGTAGCATTTTATTCTCTACTTAAGGATACGTTTGTTTAGGACTACATTTGTTGTTCAGGGTCCAATGCCACTCGCTTCATCCTTCATCAAATATGAAAGCAAGAAATGACTTTTCTGCCACACCCATCAGGAAGCAAGAATATTTTGAAGTCTCAGAATCTGTATATCTAACACACATATCTGCAAAGAAGTGTGAAATTCCATTTAACTCTGTCAATTTATTGTTTCCACTATTCTCCCCATTGTGGCAGTGTATTTACTTATGCATGCGTGTGCATCTGCCTTCAAGTTGCCTTTTGACTTATGGTGAGTTTTCATCGGGTTTTTTTAAACCAGGATACTCGGAACTGATTTTGCTACTCCCTTCCTCTAAAACACTGGTTCCCAATCTTTTTTTGACCAGGGACCACTTGAACAGGGACCACTCACCAACATTAGTACCGAAAGGGTTACAAATCGATTTTTGGTCAACTTTAGATTCGGTTTGGTTATTTGGGTTGCTGATTCAGAAAATTGTATTGAATACACCACGTCAGCTCTAGTTTCTGATACAGAACATATGCCATCCAGTAGTCGCCATCTGCTTGCCCACAGAAAACCATATTTAATAATCTAGAGCTGATGTGGTAATAGTAATCTTTCGTTGTTAGTCAGCCTCTCCCGTCACAACATCCTCATTGTTTCTGTACTATAAGAGTGTTTTGTGAGACCAGTCACACTCATTGCCACATGGTTTCGAGGAAACGGTGTAGTAATGGTGAGGCCGCGGACCATATTTTTGTTCTTGCAGACCACTGGTGGTCCACATACCACAGGTCTAAAGTGTAGCTTACAGCACCTGGTATTAATTGGCATCTCCCATCCAAGTACTAACCAGGGCTGACCCTGCTTAGCTTCCATGATCAGAGGGAATCTGGGGCCTTAAGGGTATTTAGGCACCTTGATATATTGCCATATATCTGTCATGCGCTGTGTATTAAGAGACTTTTTCAGATATGAACGTGAGAACAATAATTCAGACTGTCATTGAAAACGGAATAAAGAACATCACACAAAAAACATGAAATTTGATACAAAAATGAAGAACAAGTAACTACTACTAGGAGCCTTATCACATTGGGATATAATCTGTTTATATCAGTATGCATCCCATATTTTTTTGGACTGGATGCATACTGCATTGAGACAGGATGCATACTCTCCTCATCACACCCCATCACACAATTCCTATGATTTGAAAATACTGCGCTTTGACGTCACACCAGGGAAGGCTGGCTCCTCCCAATCCATTCAAAACACCCCCTACATCACTGTGACATTTTAAAAAGTATCATTGCTGATAGGATGCACACAGATTTTCCTATCACACACAAAACAGTGCTTCAGCAGAGAAAGAATCCGTAGTAGTTAAAAATATATATATTAGAAATCCCTCTGCAAATAACCCATTTCTGTGACACTTTGGAGATGGATTCTGATGTAATACTGATGGGATGAGGCAAACATCATGTGATGTGACCCATTCAAAATCATTCTCAAACAGTCTCGGAAACTCTGTATTTCCTAATGCAGTGGTTCTCAACCTGTGGGTCCCCAGGTGTTTTGGCCTACAACTCCCAGAAATCCTAGCCTGTTTACCAGCTGTTAGGGTTTCTGGGAGTTGAAGGCCAAAACATCTGGGGACCCACAGGTTGAGAACCACTGTTGTATTGTGATAAGATCCTAGGAATTTCCAAAAAGACAAATAAATGGGCCCAAGAGCAAATTGAGGCTGAACTCTCCCTAGTAGTCAACACAACCAGCTGAGGTTATGTGTACTTTTGGACATATCATGAAATGGCATCACTCATTGGAAGGAGCCTCCAGTGGCACAATGGGTAAAACCCTTATGCCGGCAGGACTGAAGACAGAAAGGCTGCAGGTTCGAATCCAAGAAGACCGTGGATGAGCTCCCTATGTCAGCTCCAGCTCACCATGCGGGAACATGAGAGAAGCCTCCCACAAGGATGGCAAAACATCAAAACATCTGGACGTCCCCTGGGCAACGTCCTTGCAGACCAGAAGTGACTTGTCACTTTTTTTCACTCCTGACAAGAAAAAAAAAACTCATTGGAAAATAGGATATTATTATTTGAAACACAACAAGATGAGTCCACAGCAGACAAGATCACTCTGCTGGCTGTTGTAATGGATCATACGTCGGACACTTCCCAAGTATCTAGGACTGTGTGATGTATCGGCGAATAATGCGCGCAGATCCCAGTAAGGTGGCCTTCTGCAGCGGGCAGATGGTAATTTTGACAGCACCAATTGTGTTGAAGTGCAGGCCAAGGTCTTTAGGCACTGCACCCAGTGTGCCGATCAGCACTGGGACCAGCTTTACTGGCTTGTGCCAGAGTCTTTATTGATTATTATTATTATTATTATTATTATTATTATTATTATTAACTTTATTGCCCAGTAAAATGGAAAGCAGCATGAAAAGGGGAATACCACGTTACAGACAGATTATATATATATATATATCTGGAAATGGGGATCAAGCACACAAGAAAAAAATCATTAAAGGACATCTACATTCTACAGCAGACACGGGCAAACTTCGGCTCTCCACAATTTCTCATCACTGGTAGAATTATAGAATTATTGCAGTTTGACACCGCTTAAACTGCCATGGGTGAATGCTATGGGATCTTGGGAATTGCAGAGGAGGGCGACTAAAATGATCAAGGGTCTGGAGAACAAGCCCTATGAGGAGCGGCTTAAGGAGCTGGGCATGTTTAGCCTGAAGAAGAACAGGCTGAGAGGAGATATGATAGCCATGTATAAATATGTGAGAGGAGGTCACAGGGAGGAGGGAGCAAACTTGTTTTCTGCTTCCCTGGAGACTAGGACGCGGAACAATGGCTTCAAACTACAAGAAAGGAGATTCCATCTGAACATGAGGAAGAACTTCCTGACTGTGAGAGCCGTTCAGCAGTGGAACTCTCTGCCCCGGAGTGTGGTGGAGGCAGAGGCGGCCCTAGGTAATTTTCAATGGTAAGCAAACAGTATTTTGTCCCCCCCCCCCCCAACCAATCACTGATATATATTTTCTGTTCATCATGGGAGTTTTGTGTGCCGTATTTGGTTCAATTCCATCATTGGTGGAGTTCAGAATGCTCTTTGATTGTAGGTTATACATCCCAGTAACTACAACTCGCATATGTCAAGGTCTATTTTTCCCCAAGAGCACCTCAAGAGGGCCCCTGGGCAAAATCAACTATACTGCAAATGCTTGCTTTGCGTAATGGGTTAAGCCGCCCCTGGGTGGAGGCTCCTTCTTTTGAGGTTTTTAAACAGAGGCTAGATGACCATCTGTCAGGGGTGCTTTGAATGCAATATTCCTGCTTCTTGGCAGGGGGTTGGACTGGATGACCCATGAGGTCTCTTCCAACTCTATGATTCTAAGATGTTTAGCTTTCTCTGCCAAACTGCAACCCTAAGGATTCCATAGCATTGCCCAAGTGCAGTTAAAATCATTCCAGAAAGGGTTCCCCATACTTGGGTCTTCCAGGTGTTTTTGGACTTTGGCTCCCAGAATCCCTGCTCATTGGCTACGGCAGCTGAGCCTCCTGGGAGTTGAAGTCCAAAAGCCTAAATGACTGAAGGACGTTCCATTGAGGAGTACGGCATTGCCGCTTGGAGCCGGCCGCTTCTGTGGCAACCAAGGCACGGTGAGCCAACAGAGGGCGCTGTTACACCGCCGCCGCTTTGGCCCCGCCCCTGACGTCGCCCTCGTCGTCGTGAGGCGCGGAGGCCGGCGTTGGGCCGGAGTGTGCCAGGCAGACGCCGGCGATGGCGGGAGGCACCCGGAGGAGCGTGGTCGGAGGCGGGCGGGCGAGGGAGGCCTCGGTGACGGGGCCCAGGGGGCGCTAGGGGGGGGCCTCGCCCTGTCTCCCAGCCCGGCATGGCCGGCCTCATCAAGAAGCAGATCCTGAAGCACCTGTCCAGGTGAGCAGCGCCTTTTCCCTCCTCTGACAGGAAAGGCCCCGAGAGCAGAGGAGAGCTGTGCTTCCCAACATTCGGCGCGTCAGGTATTCGGGACTTCAACTCCCAGAAGCCCTTGCCAGCGTCGCCTATGGTCAGGAATTCTGGGAGATGAAGTCCAATAAAATATGTCTAAGAAGGCAGCGCTGGGTGTTGTCAGAGAAGGTTTGGACCTTGTGGAATTACAGCTCTCATGAGGCCTTAGCATTGGGCCATCGCTGCTAAAGTGGGGTCAAACTGCATCAGTTGTACACTGTAGATCAGCCATGGGCAAACTTCGGCCTTTCCTGCAGGTGTTTTGGACTGCAACTCCCACAGTTCCTAACAGCCTCAGGCCCCTTCTTTTTCCCCCTCAGCCGATTCCTAACAGCCTCAGGCCCCTTCTTTTTCCCCCTCAGCCGATTCCTAACAGCCTCAGGCCCCTTCTTTTTCCCCCTCAGCCGATTCCTAACAGCCTCAGGCCCCTTCTTTTTCCCCCTCAGCCGATTCCTAACAGCCTCAGGCCCCTTCTTTTTCCCCCTCAGCCGCTTAAGCAGCTGAGGGGGAAAAAGAAGGGGTCTGAGGCTGTTAGGAATTGTGGGAGTTGCAGTCCAAAACACCTGTATGAAAGGCCAAAGTTTGCCCATGCCTCTGTAGATTCATGCTTAGATGTTTGCTTTTTCTTGTGCGGTTCATCTCCTTCTCCAGATGTTGTTTTCATCTCATTTGTCGAAGGTTTCATCTCTCTTTTCTGCCCTTTCCCTCATTTGGCACCTCCCGTTGCCATTCAGTACTCCATTCTTATGCTTTCTTGTTTTATTTTATTTTCTTCTGTATTTTTATTTCTGCTTTTCGGCATCGTCATGTTACCTTTAAACCTAATCCACCAGCATGGGGAGGTGGGTAATACATTATTATTATTAATAATATTGCTCTAAACTATTTTTATAGTATTCCCACATTTATCGCGGGGGTTCCGTTCCGGGAACACCCACGATGAGTGAAAATCCGCAAAGTAGGGATGTCATATTAATTTTAATTTTTATACATTATTTTATGTATTTTATATATTATTTATTTATTTATTTATTTATTTATTTACGACATTTATATGCCGCTCTTCTCACCCCGAAGGTGACTCAGAGTGGCTTACAAGGTATATATACATACAATATATTATTAACGTAGTACAATATGAGTTTTAAATATTGCTATATTGTACTATATCAATTATACTCTAATATTATTAGTAATATTATGTGTAATATAAATATATAATTATAATATCATATTATTATTAGAAGTATTATATTGCATTACATTATAATATTATAAATATTATATGTATATACAATATATTATATATTGTATATACATATAATATTATACTATATTATATTATATTATTAGAATAGCACAGGAGACAAGGTGTTTTCTTATCTGAGCTTCCTTACCCACCTCACCCACCTTCCGGCCCATCCCCAAGGGCACCTGCCTGCCTCCCTGGCCTCCTCAGAGCCACACAGACAGCAGCAGGCCAGGGGGGCAGGCCTTCCCCGCCGTGCCTCATGCTTCCGCACCTCCGGGGTCTGTGGAGGCCAGGGAGGCAGGCCTTCCCTGCTGTGCCTCAGGCCGCCGCACTTCCCAGGTCTCCCTGGGCTCCACTGGACATAAATATTGAATACTGAATATTTTATTAATATTTTTTTAAACCCGCGAAACAGCGAGTCCGCTAAAGCAAACCACGAAGTAGCGCGGGAACACTGTATTCTTTCCTTTGAATATGTTATTTTGTCTTTCTTCCCTTTCCTTCATTGCTCCATGGTGCCATTTAACTTTCTAGCTGTGACATGTTATTGTTGTCAAAGGCTTTCATGGCTGGAATCACTAGGTTGCTGTGAGGTTTCCAGGCTATATGGCCATGTTCCAGAAACATTATCTCCTGACGTTTCGCCACATCTGTGGCAGGCATCCTCAGAAGTTGTGAAGTCTGTTGGAAACTAGGCAAGTGAGGTTTGTATCTCTGTGGAATGTCCAGGGTACATTCCACAGAGTTCTTTCTCCTACCCTGGACATTCAGACAAAAGTAAACCTCACTTGCCTAGTTTCCAACAAACCTGTCAGCCTCTGAGGATGCCTGTCATAGATGTGGGTGAAACGTCAGGAGAGAATGCTTATGGAACATTTCCATACAGCCCAGAAAACTCACAGCAACCCTGTGAACTGTTTCTTTTTCTTTTTGTTATTTTGTGTATAAATAGCACAGACATGCAATGGAAACTAAATCCTTTTTTTTAATATGGTAGCTCTTTTTTATGTAGTTTTTCAGTGCTGAATTCCAAATACATAACACAAGGTGCCACACTACACAGTTTTTTACCCATAAAGGTCATTGCCAATTTGAGTATTAGTTTTATTTTATAGAAATCTCAAAAAAAATTATGAAAAGAACTGCTTGGTGGAGCAACGTTTTTTGGATTTAGAGCACCGATTTTTGTTGTTGTTTTATTCATTTATATGCCACTTTTCTTTCAAGTTACAAATAATACAAAAATCAGAATAAATGTATAGATATAAGATTTAAAACAGATATTAAATCAAAACACTAAACATTAAAATATTAAAATGCATTAAAATCAGCATATAATTCCTGCCATGGGGTTTTACTTCTGCTTCAGAATAGGCTAACGTTTGCACAGATGAAACAGAGGTTGACAATCTTTCTTTGTTCCAAAAAGATCTTAAGATCCTTCAAACAATATGTTCTGAAGCTTTATCTCTTCTAAAGCTTGTTTGCTCAGTTTTACCCGTGGTGCTCAGAAACTGAAGGTATTATAGGATATTTTTTTTGCGGATACTAGATTTAGGTAACATGACGTAATTGATTTTTTAAAACGTAGTTACTATTTCAGAGTATAGAGGGAGCAAGGTCACAGGCAGTTAGTTGTATGGAAAAAGCCAAGTGGTTGATTCTATCTTGCAACGATCTTGAGAAAATTATATGCTTGGATGAATGGCCAATGAATTATACATTTCTGCAGGGAAGAACAATAGCAGATTACCACTAAAAACCTGGGCTAAAACCCTGCAATTTAAAATTTACCATCTCTGTTCCTGGTGTGCAGTATCTATTCCACATACTGGTTGTTACCCCTTGCTAGAAAGTTGCTTGTGTTGCTAACACATAATTTCACATATTATAAAACATCAGATGAATGGTTCAGGTACAAAAGATGGTGTTATAATTTTTTTGAGAATCGTAAGATTCCCCAAACGAGTAAAAAGAAACCTTTTGCTCACAACAGTGTCTGAAAAACTAAGACATGGGGAAGTGAAAGAGCATTCAAGAAGCCATTGGCTAAGGCTTTTCCATTTCATCTATTAACATGTGCCCTAGTCACGTTATTTTCCTTTATTATAGTGTTTCCTCATACATAGCATGATATCTAGCCCACACATCATGGGAAATGTATAGTGCTAAATGCAAAGGAACAGCATTCTCCTGCTCTTCCATTCCCTCTTTGTTTTTAAAGCTATATTGCTGTGTATTCAGACACAAGAGAAAGAATGCACCATTGTTGGCAGAATTAGAGAAGGCAGCTTCGGTCATGCCTGTTTGCATAAGAAAACTGACTCTGAAGAAGCAGCTTAGAGCTGAGACCACCCCATGGGCACCCCCCATCCAATATTCTCCTTTGATTTGCTTATCACATGTATGCCCTATTTTTCTAGGGTAGTTATGACCTCATCATATATGGCTTTCTCTCCTTGTTCCCAGCAAGGCTATGAGTTAAATTAGGAGAGGCAGGGGCTGGCTCAATGATTTTCATTACTGCATTGGCGTCTTGTTTACAGTGTATTTTTGGAAGAAAAAACTCATCCTGGCACTATGAAATAGGGAATGTATGGTCCTCCAGATGTTGTTGAATTACCACACCCATCATTTTTAGCCCATTTTAGCAATTTTTCAGTGTTGATGGGAGTTATAGTGCAGCAGCATCAGGAGAATGGCTGATTCCCATCCCTGCTTAAATGTCTTAGCACTCATATTCAGCAAAGAAGTAAACACAAAAACCCACAGAGTAGCATAGCTATGTGTGTTTATGAATATAATAATACTAGTTGTGTTATGTATACCGATATAATAATACTAGTTATCACTGATAGCCAGTGCAGGTATACATTTATTTCTAATATGTCTGTTTTCTCTATGTCCTCAAAAGTTATTTTTTAAATAAAAAGTAGCAGAATAAAAAATGAGCAAGTTACAGAGGGGCATTGGTTTCCTTTTATGACCTATTACTTATTTCATGGAAGTATTGTTAAGACATGTCGGTTATATGAAAAGAACAGTAGTTGGGGGGGGGGGGGACCTTGACAAAGCTCAGCGTAAAATTTGAATCATGTGTTCACATTTTGGGTCACTTCTGGTAAATTAGATATTTTCAAACATTTCATATAATTGGGCTGAAGGTAATACAGACTTTGGCATTTTGAAAAATATTAAAGTGCCTTTTCTGCACCATGCCAGTGAATGTATTACGTGATTCAGCATTTGCTCATAGTGCTGTTTAAGAAAATGTACAAACATCAAAGTACAATTATGTTAATGTAAGTATTTCTGATTCTCCATCTGCTCTTATTTTGGTGGAGAACAGAGGAACGAATTAGGATTGTCAAAACATATTAAAATACTGATAGATTGCAAAACATAAGACGATTTCAAGAGTAATTGTTTCCTGCTATAAGGCATACTATCTATCTATATATATATAATTTTTATGACTGCACTATATCAGTTAATCAGCTGGTGTCTTCGGTTTGGAATCTTATTAAAGGGCAAAGACAAACAGGAGGAAGGTGCTGGTAGAGGAGGAACATTGATGATGGCTAAGAGATTATATGGTTGTGAGGAATTGTTCTATATATAGTGATCAAATTCATATGCTACCCAGTAACAGCACATTTTACTGTGCCAAATAAAA